TTTTTTTTATATCACACGGCGATTGCACAAATTGTGACTCTGCCACCATTTCAGTAGTGTCGCTCTCTGTGTCAATTAGCATATCACTCTTCTTTCCTCTCCATAGTGGCCTGCCAGTGGACAAAGTGCCCTCCATCAGGTGCTCTCCCTCGACGTGACCATAGTCCCAATGAGGTCCATGGGTGCACAGCAAAGGCAGTGTCCACCTAGCACAAACAGAAGTAAAGGATGAATAGTTGTGCTGTGAAAGCAACTCTTTCTACCTTTTTGCTGAGGGCAACTCAGGCACACTGGTGCTTCGATGAAGCTTAATTAATTTAATTGACTTGGTACACTTCAAAAAACACTTTGACGTCAAATTAATTTAGCCTTTCATTGCTCGATATATCACTCGAGAGGTAACATGTGCAAATAACGAAGCAATCAGGCAAAATTAAATTTGCAACTCATATGCTAGCAGGTGAGGTGAAGTTTACCTGGCTCTATTACAAAACACTTTGAAAATACACACTTTTTGAAGGCATATGCTGTCATGGCTTGGCCGTGAATGTTGACAATTCTATTTTATCGATCACTGGTCAAGCTTCACTTAGGTGCCATTCAATGATTGAATTTTCCCTGAGGTTGTCTAATCATTTCCAAGTATGTAGTGAGAGTGACTAGATTTTGCTAACATCGGAATGGTACAACATGCGGAAAAACGGTCCCTTTTGTGGTAATGTCATTACAGTTTAATTCAACCGAAATCACTTTTCATATATTAAATTTGCCTGCACTTAGAAAGCACTTAATCGATTGGACCCGCTTGTGCAATATTAACTGGCACACGTTTCCTGTACACCACAAATTGCTTCTTTGTGCCTACTGTCACTGACAGTGTCGGTGGGCAACTGCAGCAAAAGTTAAAGCCAGAAAAAGAGGAGAGAGAATGAGCGAGCAAGAAAACTCCGTGTTTGCCTGTTTCCATTCATAAAGTGAGGAATGCGGCCCTGGGTGCCAAGACTGACCAAATCACGGCATTTTAATTATTTTTTAATGATCACTGGGAGATTGCGGCTGCCCTCTCTCTTCACGTTTTTTGCCTTTGCCTAAAGTGTGACTTTTTCTGTGGTAATATCCTCGTCGTCTTGGAATCCCTCATTTGCTGCCGGCGCTTCAGCTGAGGGGGTGAGAAGGGTGGTACTGTTAACGGGAGAACTGTCGTCGGCAGGTAAACCATGTACACACTTTCTTGTTTGCTCTAAGCAGGACAAATGCCGACAAATGCGGACAAGTTTGCTCTACTTTGTGGGAAGTAGAAGTAGTACCGCACAGTAAATGTGACTGACGGTGTGCTACCGTATGAGAAGCACACTTCACCGTCGTGCAAAACGTGCCACTTCCTCTCCACCAAAAAGGGAGGGCATTTTAATCGAATTTATATTTATTAATTCGCGATCACTGTTCTTCGGAGACACTGCTCATCGGTGTTTTGGTTGGCTGAAATCTTTCTACTGAAAAGAAATGGCAGCAGAGAGACCTCTGAAGCGCAGTGAGTGATCGGGCGGATGTCAAATATTTTCTAATCTATCTAATTTATGGCAGCAGCAGTGGTAGACAGCACCTCGGTGTCATATCTTAATTGAGTTGACACTCGAAATAATATTCGGTTACGCAGACAAACACATACACAAACTGAGACAAAATGAGAGAGCGTGAGCATTGTCACAGCAGCGAGTATTCTACTTTATGGCCGACTTTATGTTTCCGAGCTGTGAGCCAGCCAGTTTCGCATTATGCGACGGCCATTTATATTGATTACTAGAGCTGGCCAAGGAAGGAGAAAGAGAAGGAGAAGAGGGTAGAGGAAGACCGCCAACACTGCCAACATCGCCCACTCTGGGTCGCCGCACTGCTGCTGAACTGGCAGTCTTCGCTGGAGTGCACTCTTCAGCAGGCGATGTGAGGGTGAGTCAGCTAGAAAGAATGAGTGAGCGAGTGTGTCACTATCACACAGCTGGCAATGCAAATCGAGACTCGACCCTTGCCTTCCCAGTGGCATTGTTTACCAGTGAACAGAATCGGGTAAATTCAATTAACCCACCGATAAAGCCATTCGTTTCACTTTTCCCCTTCCTACTCGATACTTTTATTGCCCTTTGCTGGAGCACATTTAAACATCGGGCTCTGTTCGCATTGCTAATTACTGCCGTACAAAGAATCGCTTCTCTTCAATAATTTACCCACTGCAATTTTTCAAAGTGTTTCACTGCCGAAGCATTTGGCTGTTGGGACACTACATTTGTTGATGCACCGGCAGCACTTCTCATCAAGCACACGGGCAATTAAGATTGCGCTGTAACCTGGAAGACGATTGAACCAGCGGACATTGAACGAGTCATCCCTATTGATGTTTTTTGGCGGTACTTAGTCTAAATCAGAAATAGCTCTCATTCTCCCTGAATGGTCGGAAAAGAAGTGAATGCTGTGAATGAGCTAATCGGAAATATTTGCCTGTGTTTGAACAAGTGCATGAGTCGATAAGTCAAGTCGTAGGTACCGGTAGTGTGGTCTTTCCTCGTCTAGTAGTACACAATTTCAGTATCAGTAGCATGTTATCGCCAGTGACCGGTTCACAGCTCCACAGTGCACGCCTGCCTTATCGAGGTGTTATTGCAAGGTGATAAGGAAGTGTTCAGTCAGTTCACTCTGACGTGATCGTCCCCAGTAGCAACACACTGCTGTGATTGTCATTGAGCTCACTGCAAGCTCACATGCCATCATCTAACTGAAACACCTTCTACCTTGTGTCACTCTCTAATTGTTCTCCCAAACATATTTTTGCAACAATGTTCCACTTAGTCAAGCGAAGCATCACAAAGTGTCACTCAAAGTCGGCAATTTACCAGCTTGCCTTCAAGTGCTTCTCCGGCGACGCAAACACCCTCAAGCGAACTGCTCTCTACGACTTTCACGTGAAACATGGCGGTAAAATGGTGCCTTTTGCCGGCTATGAAATGCCCGTTCTCTACACCGGAGACCTCTCCATTCGTGACTCACACCTGCATACCAGAGAGAAGGCGTCTCTCTTTGACGTCTCACACATGCTTCAGCTGAACATCACCGGCAGCGATAGAGTCCGCTTCTTTGAGTCACTCGTTGTAGCCGATGTGAGTGCTCTTGCCACAAACGGCGCCTCTCTGACTCTCTTCACCACCGAGAAAGGCGGCATTATTGACGACCTGATTGTGACCAAGAAGAGCGACAATCTCTACGTCGTCTCGAACGCCGCTCGAGCCGCTGAAGACTTGAAGCACCTCCAGAACGCTAGAGAAAAGTTTGTAAAGCAGCACCCAAATGCCGATCTGTCCATGTCAATTTTGGCCGATTTTAGCCTCCTGGCACTGCAGGGCCCTCACTCGGAGGCAGTGCTGCAGCCAGCAGTTAACTGTGACCTGCGTTTGCTGAAATTCATGAACGGCATTGACGCCAACTTTGATGGAGTTCCAATTCGAATCACACGCTGCGGATACACTGGTGAGGACGGCTTTGAGTTGTCGATTCCCAACAAGCAGGCAGTCAGTGTGGCTGAGCGACTGCTACAGTCGGAGAGCGTCAAGTTGGCTGGTTTGGGCGCCCGAGACTCGCTGCGATTGGAAGCTGGTCTGTGTCTCTATGGCAACGACATCGACGAGAGCACCACTCCGATTGAGGCCGGTCTTGCCTGGACCATTGCCAAGCGAAGGAGGGCAGCTGCCGACTTCCCCGGTGCTGAGATCATTTTGCGGCAGCTTAAGGAGAAGCCAAAACGGCGTCGAGTGGGTCTGGTGGCAGTGTCCAGTGGACCGCCTGTTCGGGCGCACTCCAAGATCTACTCCAGTTCATCTAGCACCGGTGGTAGTGCCGAGGGAGAGGTGAGCAGTGGATGTCCGGCACCTTCTCTGGGCCGCAACATAGCAATGGGCTACGTGCCTGCCTCACTCGCCAAAGTGGGCACCAAGGTGTACTGTGATGTGCGCGGCAAGCTATACGAGTACGAAGTGGCCAAAATGCCCTTCATCCCTAGCCACTACTACCTGTAGTGTGAATGTGTGAATGTCATGAGGTGTGTATTGTACAAAAAATAAAGTAACAAGCAGAAAAAGCACTGCACAATACAATGTGAAATGTGAAGCAGTTGTGTGGTAGGGGCAGAAGCACTCGACGGGCCCAGCAGCACTGACTAGGTGAGCACTGATCCCTTGTGCACGCAGATGCCCTCCTGGAAAAGGGCCGGCCACAGGTAGCACTTAATGGCACTGGAGGATGAGTCGGCGGTGTGCACCCGACTGTGCCAGTCTTCGCGGAAGAGACGATGCTCAATTTCCATGCTAAACTGCGTCGGTTGCACGTGCAGTGACCAGCTCAGTTGGGCGCACTGCTGTACAAAGTCCACCAGTGCAGGGCACTTCTGCAGGCACGGGTAGTCGAAGAGCGTGTCCCATATCTGCGAACACACCTCCTGCAGGATGATGATTGGGTGGAAGGGGGAAAGACATTGTCAGTTGTATGGTCAGTAGTAGTAGTTCACCCACTCTCCCCACTTACCTCTACATTTTTGTGAATGTCAAAGTAGGCACAAGTGGTGCGTAGGTAGTGGCCAATGGCCGCTTCCAGGTCCTGTTTGGCGCTAGCCAACTCCTCTTCCCGCTGTTCCTCTCTCTGGTCATCAACCGGGCTCTTGCGAGTGTCAATGCGGAGCAGACTTCGAGCACTGCAGCTGATCTCTCGAAGCGTCTGCTCAGTGGATCGATATGCGAGCTAATCGAGTTAAATTGGGAAATTACAATGCTATCGTCATGAAAAGCCAACACACACACAGGCACACACAACTGAGCACACCAATTTGTGACAATCATTAGCGCGCTTATGGAGCGCTTTATGGCGCTCATTTATAGACGATGGTCTCCTGATGGTCTCCGCTGCTGGAGCAATCCCAAGGGTCGACAGTGAACCGCTATTAGTGTCAATTATTAATGCCTACTAAAAGTGGCGATGGTAGTGGTCGCAGTGGTGGTGGTGGTCACTCCAACTGAGCTCTACTGTGTGAGCTTGGACTCTTTTTGTGGCCACCTAATCTAATGGATGGACTATATGGGCATCGTGTCACGTTTTGATGTAAATCTGTTTGGCAAATATTTCAATTTGCCGATTGGAATTTCTCTCGGTTGCGCTTGTGCGGTTACTTTTTTGCAGAAACTGTTCTCAGGGTTTGTACGTGCTGTTGCAGCAACTTAAGTCTATGAACTACTCCTGTTCTGCTTGCTGTAAAACTTTAAACAATCTAAACTGGGTTGTGTGCAGTTGGCCGGCTAAACATACAGTGCCCCCCCCCCTACATACCACCATGACGGAGAAGAGCAATTTAGTTTTCAATTCAGTAGAGTCCTTCAGTTCGTCCATCTGGTCGAGAGCGTCGAGAACGTTGACACGTACTGCAATTACCGACAATGTCATTACTCGATTGGCACTGCCAACATCTTCTCAGTTCACTCTGTGATTACCTTGTGAGTAGAGATGCTCATATCGGCGAATGAGTCCATTCAGGCGATTGCTTTCGTCCAGATTGGAGCCCTCAAACCGATGACCAGTGCCGATGCCCAGCGACAGCAGTCGCTGCGACTGTGAGGTCAGCTTCTCCTGCAGTTTGGCTCGACTGTTTTCCAGCTGTTCAATTCGGGCACTTGCTTGAGCCAGCTCACACCGGAGAAAGTACACCTCTTCGCTCTCCTCCTGAACACTCGCCTTTCCGTCGACGCTGATGCGGCAAATGGTAGTCGGCCCACCGTTCTCGGCACCAGTCACTCGGTTCTCCGCTGGGGGCGGCTCACACATGCTGAGACGATTGCCACAGTTGACGCTCACTTCGCCATCGAGCAGGGTGGTTCCGTCGGCACGACCAGTCATGATGGCGACATTTGCGGCCGCTGCCGCTGCCTGTCGATCTGCATGTGATTCTGGATAAAGTGAAAGACACAACAGGGAGAAATGATTATCAATATGATGGAAAACGCCAACCAGTTTGTGGTGCGTCTGATGGAAACCAGCGTGCTCAGTGTGAACAATCAAAAATAGCCCAGTCAGTGGCCCTGATGACTGTGAATGAATTCCACTCTCTATCAATCGATTGAGTAGTAATTAATGCAACCGAAAGTGTGCAGTCCTCTCTATCACTTTTTTCAATAAATAGAGCAAGTATTTGGGTAAGCAGCAAAGTGCAGCAATTGAAAGTATGTGAGTGGCCTGACAAACGATTGCCAGTGTCTGCTTGTGAGAAGGGGGGCAGTTGTTGTAACTTCTTGGCAGTGACCAGCCATGGCCAGAAAGGGGGGGGGCAGAAGTACCGAAGCACTGGCCAAATTGGAGTGATTAATTAATTTGACATCGCTGTCGAGTTTGCTCGAAAAAATATGAATGATTATTATAATCGGACCGGTGATTATTATTATCACGATTTGAGCCCGCACAGCCCGCACAGTGGCCCGTTAGTAGTATTAGCAGCGCTACTACGCTCGGCGCAATTTGGCGCTGTTGACTGGGCCGATAATGAAAGGCTACGAATCGCTACTTGGTTAGTTAGCTAGTTAAACTAGCATGTAATAAAAATAGCCCGGTCTAGGCATAATATAATATATAATGTCGTATAGAAAAATGTTCATAATGTTTTGACTTTAATAAATTNTATTACTACTACGCTCGGCGCAATTTGGCGCTGTTGACTGGGCCGATAATGAAAGGCTACGAATCGCTACTTGGTTAGTTAGCTAGTTAAACTAGCATGTAATAAAAATAGCCCGGTCTAGGCATAATATAATATATAATGTCGTATAGAAAAATGTTCATAATGTTTTGACTTTAATAAATTGCGGCCAGCAACTACGTGCCTTCACTTCCGATTCACAGTCACACACTGTGCTACCATTATTGCTTTGCCATTGCTTCCTAGTGCTAGTCTTCGTTCTGGTTCGGTTTTGGCTTTTGGTGCTGGTGCTAGCGGTTCTGCTGGTGGCACTGATGGCCTGCTGCCCGGCTGCTCTGTGCAGCACTGCAGCTACTCTACCACAGCTAGCTAAATCAATATCGAGCTAAATTAAATTTANTTGGCTTTTGGTGCTGGTGCTAGCGGTTCTGCTGGTGGCACTGATGGCCTGCTGCCCGGCTGCTCAGTGCAGCACTGTAGCTACTCTTACCACAGCTAGCTAAATCAATATCGAGCTAAATTAAATTTACTCTTCTCAAATAATCATTAGCGGGGATAATAGCGCACTGGGTCCAGTGCACTACTCCGCTTAGCTCCTTCAGCTTGCGCGCGGCTTTGCTTTGCGTTGCATTGTTTTGCAGTGCCAGTCCTCTCGGTGCGTATCAATGTTTGGGTGTCGGTGTTGTGTAGTGGCACTCACCACTCTGCTCCATCATAACTGCAGCTCGAATCGATTGCCCGGCAATTCGCCAGTTCGCTAATCGATGTCTTAATCAGAGCCTAGAGTAGTGTGAGCTGGCGAGGCTCTGTGCCCCACCAGGCATCACTACCTATTTACAGGCACTCGCTCCATTGATGTTCGATGGCCACTGGTCGTTAGCGCATCAACAGCACCAACACTCTTTGCTGGCCTTCTCTCTCTCTCCCACTTTTTCCCCCATCACTACGACCATCAGAAAGAGCAGCATCAGCCACTTCCTCCAGTCCTGTCGCTAGACTGCTCCTTTGTTTGCCAGTCTGCTTCCTTTGCTCGGCAGTGCAAAGTGGTGGCCACCTATCAGACGCCGTCGCCGGTACTCTTTTTCTCTCTCTCTCTCTCTCTCTCTTCTCTTGTGTTGTGTTTGGTGTTTTGTTTCTACGCCTGTTGTCTTTGTTGTCGCCGTCTCATGCTCAGCACAGTCGTCAGTGTGTTCGGTGGTAGGCTGATGATGTACATGATGTACTTCATGTTCATGTTCATGTTTACTGTACATTGAACATTGAGCACTGCTCAGCCCGCAATAAAGAGAAAGAGAGAGAGAGAAAGAGAGAGAGAGAAAGAGAGAGAGAAAGAGAGAGAGAGAGAGAGAGAGCATGGCGACTAGGACGACCACCAGCATCGCCAGCAACACGGCCTCACACTTGGTCGCACTTGACACTGGCGGAGAGTACTGCTGGCAGACATCTGTACGGCATGCGATAAATGGCAGCGTAACACTTTGTCCGCACTCTTCACGTGCACCTCTTCCAATAAAGCGGTGTTAAATCACTTCTTATCAGCTCTTTGCAGTGGAAGCCTTTTGGTGCGCCAATTGCTGCCTCTGCTCACCCAAAATGAGGCGTCATTTCCGCTGGGAAATGTTCCCAACATGGTGAATTAGCAAGTGAATCAAGTGAGCACCAGGCCATCACTTAGGACACTCACTGCACCAGCAGTCGGCACTGCAGTGCAGACAGGGCACACACACAGTGCCCAGACGTGCACTGGGACCCTCGCCGGGCAGCTGTCGACTTTCTAAGGTGGAGCTCCAAATTAAAGGTGCGCGTGCGATCCAATTTTAAATCGAAACTTTTAATTATGTTCATTATCGCTGAGAATTCAAAGCTGCAGCAGCCAAAAACTGCAACAGCAACAGCAGCAATTTAGTAAATGAACCCGTGCGTCGAGCGCATCGCAATTAGTCGCCCTAATTTAGCGGCCTTTTCAACGACAAAAAGCGTTTCGGCTTCTCTTTTGAATAGAAGTGAACGCACCTACGCTGTCCTCCTCTAATAGGTACATTACCCGACAGTGGAAAAAGAGAGTGGCAGAGGGCGAGTCGTGCAAACTGTGCAGCACCGTTCACCAGAGTTGGCCAGTTTGCCGATTGCAATGTATGCAAATTGATGGGTAGCAGGGAGATCTATTATTTTAATTTGTTTCTGCTTTCGCCATTTGTCTTACTGAAAACAGAACACACTTTCTAGTTGTACTACCCACTACTGGTGTACTGCTGCTGCTGATGCTGCCGAGCGCTGCACTTTGATTCTGGTTTAGTTGTCGTCAAGTCGGCAGTCGAATCTGGTCCCAATTAAATTTCACTTCAATTATGCCATTAGAAATTAATGGGCAGAGTAGTAGTGTTGGCAACTGTGTCTACTACGACAAGAGTTAGAAACAAGATTGTGCGAAGAAGTAGTAGCATCACTGGTGAATTGATGACATTGCCTCGCTCGTGTCAGGCGGTAGTATTGATTGCAATTGCAGAGCACAGTTGCAGTCAGCACGACTGGCGACTTTGTCGTGTTCCAGAGACGAACAGTTTCAGAGACGTCACCGAGCGCCAAATGGCAGTCAATGCCGACTGGAGCACTGAGTCACAACTGTGGCCCGGTCCAAGTGACGATGAGTTATTAGCATTTCTTCCTTTGCATGCCACATTCCTCTAGCCATTTGCTGATAATAAATAGCGCTCTATTATTCATCATCATCATCTGCTGCTGGCGCTTGTTTATATTAGCGCGGTGACAGTTAGCGGCCTGCAGCATCAGCAGCTCAGGCAGCACCTAGGCACCGTCAGTGATGCCACTGAGAGAGAAAAAGAGTATCCTCTTCTCCTTTTCTCAATTAACGATGTCATTCGCATTGCCATTTGGTAGTGGCAGTCTGGGATCGCTTCGCTGCGACGAGTTGAGTCGCATTGTCGCTCTCACTTTTTCTTCCACTCAGTGTATGTGTGTGTGTCATATCGACGACGTATAAATTAATTCGCCATTACATGCTGCAATCGATACTCGGTCTCGTTATCGGCCCATAAATGGCCATTAATTGTGCGAAAACAATCGACAGCCTGTGGAGCTAATGTGCATTAGGACATGTGCACTGTCTCACTGTGTTCCCTCGGTAGTCAGTGCTGCAGCCAGTGCTGGCCATCGTCAGGGCGCTAATGGCATCACCGTGACCACATCGCCGCCAACTGCATCACATCACATCTCACTGTCCAGTGTGCCTTACCGCCAGCTCTAAAGAGTATGGTAGTAAAACTGAAAGAGAGAGAGAGAGAGAGAGAGAGAGAGTAAAAGTTCTGCAGTTCCCCCCGTGTGCTTCCCAGTGCTGTGACAACTTGTATCTCTACTACTTGGCCACCGACTGTGTGTGAGTGTGTGCTTTGGCACTTCAGCATGAGAATTGCTTTAAAGTGGCCACGTTTCACATTGCCATGTCGGCTTTGCCGTCTTGGCTGTGCTTGTCGCAACCAAACGGTGTCATTTGACAAGTTTCTCGCAATATTGGCTTGTCCTGTCAGGCATGCACCTCCAGTGTGCGCTATTGGCCACCAAGTTTAGCATACAGGGTGACTAGATGATATGTGTGTGTGGGAAGGCAAACAAACAAACTACCACCACCATCACGACCAAGCTGGTGCCCGGTCTGTCCTTTTGTACAAAAGAGTAAAAGTCTCTATTTTGGGTAGCCGAGCTATTCGATTAGCCCATCAAGTGAAGCCGACTCTATGAATTGGCCATTGTGTCTAATTCAATTGTGATGCACCAGCGGTAATAGTGCAGTCGCTTTTCTCTGATCTTGCCGTAATGACGTTCCAATTGGAACAAAGGGACTTGCGTGCATAGTAGAAGGAAAAGCCCAGCGTCACAGTCACCCGATAGTGAAACATTTGTTTAGTTACATTGTGAACGGGAGTGAGTGCGAGTGTCGCTTTGTGGTGCACGTTTGGGACTCGTTTGTATGTTGGCGGTGTTTGCTCCTCACCCGGTGCCCTCACCACAGTATCGAATATTAATTTTCATTTTCAGCTGTTCAGCATCGTCAGTTAGCACTGCCTGTGTGTGAGTGTTTGCTCCGGTGTTTGTTCAATCGAGAGGCGAGTTGAGCGTTGTTTACTACAGGCTCTCCACAAAGTGTTACCGTTTGGCAGAGCTAGTACAAATTACTTTAAATTTGAAGCCAATTTGAATTAATGTGCTAGTCAGTCTTTCCGTAGTGCAACTTTGCGGAACCGTAATTAGACTAAAACAACAAGCAATAAAGGCAAGCAACAGTGCAGCGGCCGCGGCAGCTCACTTGGCCCCAGTCGCCGCTGAAAGCTAATTAGCAAAAGATTACGGCTCCATGGTTCTATTTGGGAAGCTTAAGAATTTCGCTGAATTATTTAGTCAGGCAAATGAAAGACGTATTAGCATACAATTGAAGCATTGTTTGCCTTCGATTCTTAATATATCGACTTTAATAATCTCACTCAAGTGGAGGCAATCGCCAAGGAATCGTCACCCTATATAGCGAAGAAGAGCGCCAATCAGCAGCACAGCTGCGACTGGTCTCTTTACAGTTTCTCATTTACTGAGAGAGAGAGAAAGTCTCAATTACGCAAGCAAGGGGATACACCGCACTGAGATGCAAATACACAAAGGCACTTTAAAAAAAGAGAGTGAAAGAGAGAGAGGTACTTACGGCTGACTGGTGATCGAAAAGTGCAGGTTTGAGGAGGCAGTGAAGCACCGCTGTTTCCGTTGGTCGGTGACTGGGTGCTCATCGGCGATGTGTCCGAGTCAGAGTGATAGCCTGAAATGTCAGAGGAGTCGTCGGTGGTGTTTGATGCCAGGGCTGCAGCTGCTGCTGCCGCCGCTGCCGCTGCCGCCGCAGACTTGCTGCCCGTTTCCTGGCGGAAAGATCGAGTTGATGACACTTTTGCATTTACAGCGGAAGTGTTTGCCGCCGCCGCTGCCGCTGCTGCTGCCGATGGCCGCAAATCTGCCGCGTTGGCAGTGGATGAGGGAGCCATTGGCGGTGCGTTCGTCGCCACCATACAGTGTGCCGTCAGGAGAACTTCATCTTCGTCTTCAGTTCCCGTTTCGTGTTGAATTTCCTTGAGCAAATTAAGTACCTGGGTGGACAATTAGGGTGATTAGAAGAAATGTACTGAGCAGACTGTTGACTGTTTTAGTGCCCAAGTGACGACTACTAGGGTGACAGAGCAGCTGCATTGTGGTGCATTGTTTGGTCAGTTTGTTTGAGCAGTTGCATTTGCTCTGTGCCGTGTGGCGTTGGTCCTACATTAGCGCATTAGGCAATTCATCATCTCCCTCTCCTCCGCTCATCACTGTCCGCTTGTCTAAACTTATTCTCAGTGGCTATCGTTTCACAGCGCTTGAGACTGTTTAAAATTGAAACTATTCGTCTTGGAGAATGCAGCCAAGGAAGGTTCTGCCGAGAAAGTGATAAGAAGTAGAGGCTCCTGGTACAGCAAGTTTGTATGCCGTTGGTTGGCCCATCAACTCTCCTGACAATACGTGCCTATTGAGCAGTTTGGCAGTGGCGGGCTTTGTTGTACTAGCTCCCAGCTAGGTAATAATATTGATGCCCGGCAAAAAGTATGGGCTGCTCTATCTGAGCAGTGGACCTAAGAGTAGTGCCAGCGTATATGTAAATTAATAGGTGGCCCTGGCGGTGCTACTCAGCTGCTCTGGATACTGCCTGCCTGCCTGCCTGGCGTCATTTGCCAGTATCATTGAAGAGAACGAGAGCGAAAGCGCGAGAATGAAGAGCTGCCTAGCGTTAAGTGCACCAAGTGGAAGCAACTTGGTGAAAAGAGCAAGCAAACAAAACGAGTGCAAGAGGAGTCGACAGTTGAAGTAATAAGGGCATTAGTGGCGATGATTTTCCCTTTCGATGCTTCGGTGCTTCTATTCATAATGCCTACTCCTGCTGATGCAGTGTGCACTGTGTGCCTGTCGCGCGCAGATTAGTCTCGAGTCGACCAAGCATTTCATGGAGATTTGCCTGGCACAGAGCTGGGAAACAAACTTGACACTTTGCGAGATGTCAACAGAAGGAAGAGAAGAAAGGCCACCAACTCACTAGCACATCGATCGATCGATCAGTGCACTTCCTTCTGCTAGTGGTCTAACAGTGCCGGTGATCAAACAGCGGTAATCGACCATCAGTGGTTGTCGGCCAGTCGCTATTAGCTAGTGGTTCAACAGGTTCAGCCAAATCATCCATTCATTAGACATTATTAGCCGATTTGGTGTAGCTTTTCTTCCTCCTCTTGCCTGACTGACATTGACCACTGACAATGCAAAGGACAAGTGACGTTGAGGGCCATTCAGAGCCAGTCATGTCATCTGCAGTGGCAGCATCAGTAGTGGCATTTAATAACAATAATTGGTAATTAGCCACAGCATCTTGGAGTCGATGTTGATTGGTGTGCCCTTGAAGGGCGAAGGCAAAGGCTTGCGCCCTCTCCTTCTGCCACCTGCTCGGGCGTCGTGCTCCAAAGTGAGAGAAAGAGAGAAAGTCAGGCGGACAGAAGTACTGCGGAGAGTGCAAAGAAACTCGTGTGCGGTTTGGGCGCATAATCACGCAACCGTTTGTCCAGCACTTAAGTGCCTTAAGTGGCACTTCGCAGGTACTGCATCTGGCTCCTTCTCTGTGTCACCGGGAATCACAATATTTCATGGCAAGCCGACGGACTGCTCTCTGGCCACAGTCGGCTCATAGTGTGTGTGTGTGCCCAGTGACTCGTCAGGTTGATTTATATTCGCCTAAGTGACGTCTTAACGATCCTAGGGTGCACACCAAAGATTACTCCCAGACGGACGCACTGTCTCACTAATGTTTCGCTGTGTTCCAAAAGAGGAGTCAAAGTGAGGTAGAGCTAGTTGACTAGAAGACTACTGCTGCTGCTGCTGCTGCTGCTGCTGCTGTGGTTGGCTGCCCTGTCAGTAAGTCGTTCTCGCCATTCTGTGCCCTCTATGTCGGTGTCTGCCTGCCTTCCTCACTGCCTGCCTGTGGTCATCAGGCGCCATTGTGTCTGTTGATACACCTGCACCTACATAGGTGGGGCAGCCAAACGGTGCAATAGCAATGCCGCAGAATGTTATACTCGGAGAGTCGTGCACTGCGGCTGCTGCTGCTGTTGTTGCTGTAGCTCACCATAGTGATGACCATTTGGTCATCGATCCACAACCACAACCACCACCAGCACCAGCAGTGCTAGCAAAGCACCAGCTCCAGCAACACTCATCTGCATGCATTCATTGCCCAAGTGCTCTTTTACTCTCTTTTTATTCTTCTTCTTGTGGCTAGTTGCAACTCTATTTGCTAGCAAACTGTTTCCTACCAAGTAATCGATTAATAGCCACTGCACTGGCTCACTTGCACCCGACTTTTCTCTCTGTTGTGACTACGACAACACTAGCTCTCGCCTGGCTCACCATAACAACCTGACCGAATACAGGAAAGTGAGAGTGTTGCGGACTCGTCCCCGTCTGACTGACTCATTGCTGCCTTTTTGGCTCCACAATCTGTCTCCAGTCAGTCAGTCAGTCTGCCTAATCGCCAGTTGACAGTGCAATGCACGTGCCGAACACTGAGTCACACACAGACCGTACGACGAGTCCACTTTGCACTCAGACTACTGCAGCGTCTACTGGGCGGCTAGTCCCCTTCTGGGACTCACTGGTACTAGCACCTCACTGTGCAAAACAGATGTGACCCTAACTGAGAGAAAAGGGCAAAAAAGAAAAAAGGAAACAAAGGACACTAACCTGGGCACATCCATGTGAGAAACGCATTAAGACGGGGGCAACGACAGTGTCCCGCTCGAAGGGACTGTTGTTCAGCTGGATGGCCAGCTTGTGACGNTGCCTAATCGCCAGTTGACAGTGCAATGCACGTGCCGAACACTGAGTCACACACAAACCGTACGACGAGTCCACTTTGCACTCAGACTACTGCAGCATCTACTGGGCGGCTAGTCCCCTTCTGGGACTCACTGGTACTAGCACCTCACTGTGCAAAACAGATGTGACCCTAACTGAGAGAGAAGGGCAAAAAGAAAAAAGGAAACACAGGACACTAACCTGGGCACATCCATGTGAGAAACGCATTAAGACGGGGGCAACGACGGTGTCCCGCTCGAAGGGACTGTTGTTCAGCTGGATGGCCAGCTTGTGACGGCTGGGTGGGTTAAAGGAGGCGCTGGGGTCGGTGGAGGATGCCCCACTGCAGGTGGACACGTACTCCTTGCGCAGCTGACCAAACTGAAAGAGTGTTTCCTTGTCGTAGTCAATGCGCTTCTGCAGTATGGCCAGCAGTATTTGCAGCGAGTGATTTGTTCGAAAGCAGGGCTCCAGGGCGCACAGGAGAGATCGATTCTTGTTTAGACGGTCCTGTATCTCCTCCTGCTTCAGCGACAGCAGTCGTTGGTGTGAGCTGAATGTCGGCGCTGGTCCTTGCGAAAGCGAACGCGTTATGGGGCCGCCGTCTTTGTTGTTCCGTGCTAGCGATAGTTCGTCAATCTTCGCAATAGCGCCCTTGTACTGCTGAATCACTCTTTCAAACTCTGTTTAGCAAATGAAAGTAAAATAAAAAACAAACGTTTCGGTTGTAAAACTGTTTTCTCAAGCTGAAAAATAAAAGACAAAAAAACTGTACAAAAAACTTACCGATTTTTAATGCTTCATGAAGATTCTGCAAGCAATNCAAAAAACAAAAAACAAAAAACTGTACAAAAAACTTACCGATTTTTAATGCTTCATGAAGATTCTGCAAGCAATTTATAATTAGAAAAAGCAGTTAATTTTGTTTGTAAAGAAAGGCAAGAAAGGCGAGAGATGTTTACCATTAGGGAATCATTTGAGGTGCCAACGAGACCATGGTGGCCCATGCCTTCGACGGCACGGTCGAGCAGCGCCTTCTTGATGAGAAGTTGCTTCCGAAGACTAGGATCGGTGATAAGAATCACCTAAAATGTGCGAAAGAAGACGAAAGAAAAAGCAGTCGTGATTAATGGCGCTGCAGTGTGACCCGCCGATTAGGGCTGATGAGTTATCGGCCTGGCGCCAGCAACGGCAGCAGGGCACAAGGGCAACACACATTTGCCCGTGATTAATTAACGCATCACTTATCGATTCGCTTAATTGATTACGTTAAGATGCCGTACAGTCAATCCAGGGACACACATATATTCGTGCTCACCTTTAGTAGCTTTTTGCAAATAGCAATTGATTCCTCATTGCCTGCGGTGGCGAACAAATTGCCCATTGCAAACATTCGAATCATGTGCGAGACAACGTTCTCCGGGTGGAGGAACTTGAAGCCAAATGCGAGGAGATCACGTCCGGCAAAGAACACTTTGGCGTAGAGTGCATCGAGAATGGGCAGCGAAGCAGGCATCGCCTCCACAAAAACGTCCACCGGCAGGTCGAGGACGACCGCCCTGAAGGTGCCATAAGGTAGGCGGGAGATGAGAAGGGAAATTTCCTGAAACTCCCTCAGTTCATAGAGTTGCAAAATGCGTCGAATAGTCATGCTGGCGTTGGCGGCCGAACACTGCTCCTGCACACTGGACTGCACGCCAGCAGCAGAGCAGGCTGCAGAGCGACAGAGGCTCGTCTGACTTCGAGTCATCTCGGCGGTGATTCTGCTCTCCGACTGGGTCCGTTTGCCACCTCTGGTCAACGAGTTGTTGTTG